TGGCATTTATCATTTGCGGCATAGGATCGCTTCCTCCCTTCGTATCCGGGAAGTTTTGGGCGCAAAAGTGCTGGGAAGTAGCCCGAATGGTAGCAAATACCAACAACAATCACTTGCCTGCAAGGCTTTCAGTGGCTGTTTCTTTCGATTGTTGCTTAGAAGAAAGAAGAGATGGCGGTTTGGACTTCCCAACTTGTGCCAGTACCAGTTTACCATCGAAACGAATGAAGGAAATGTAAGGCGAGATTTGCTGCCCCGCTGGAGGAGTCGAGCTCTGGATCTCTAGGATGAAATCAATTTTACTTGCCAATACGCCATGTTTGCTAGCTGATTTGGCTAGCGATTGCTTGATTGGAACGAAAAGTGCAACTGAGCCGTGCAGGTAGGAGGTAAATTTAGCCATTTAAGAGCCAAAATTAATCGGCCGATGCTTAGACTCTAGCTAATTTTACCTCATTTCTGTGTATTATTGTTTCATTGTTTCGTCTGTTATCGGCTTAGCTTCGGCTCTAGCCAGTTTCTGTTTTTCTAAGTTTCCTTAATTTTTCCAGATTGGATATGGAACTGGAAGGTATAAAACTGCGTGATACGTTCTGCTATAATCGTAACGAGAAGCAGATTACGCCGGAGATTTTGGCCGAAACAATGTGCGATGATTTGGATTTACCTGCTGGAACATTTCAAACTGCCATCGCGCAAGCCATACATCAACAGATTGAAGTAAACTTTTGAATTTTCAGGTCGTTTTTTACATGCTCTATTAATAAGAGTGGAAACTTTCCAAATAATTGGTTTTCTTCCTTTTTTTTTATTGTTTTATATTACCGTGACCGATATCAAGATCATCTGGACAGTCGTTTTACTGATCCTGTATTAGTGAATATTCTTGGGTTGCTTTCATGCGTTCGGTACAGGTATGCCAGGCTGTTCGGTTTCGAATTCCATACCTCCAGTAAGCCTCCATCGACTGTTCGACGTATTTGCAGTACCTCATCAAAAGTTCTTCAAACAGTCCTCGTAAATATGACTGTCACTAATATGCAACATCCACCGGTTATCGGTCAGGCAAGCAACATTCCCTGTCCATCAGATTTGTTTTCGCACGGTTGTAATGATATCCTGCACGTCGCTGTTCGATGGAGATTCTGATTCCTTGTTTGATTCTCGGTCACAACCAGCGTTTACTCTTCTGTTTTCGTCTGACCTCGATTCTCACTTCCTTTGACCATTTTTTAAAATTGACCATCCCTTTTATGCGTTTTTTGCAGCTATGCAATGCAGAAAACGCATATTGACGAGGGGTTGTCTGTGTATGCATTTGTACCGATTTTTCATCTCAAGACCTGTAAGAGCTGCAGGGCTGAAACTTTGGGAAATTAATTTATATGCACGTACGGACCAAATCCCCAGAATAGGCTTTCTTATTCGCGTATGGGCCGGCCAAAGTTTTTTACGGGCAAGCTACTAATTCGGGAACCAGAGGAAGTGGAAAGCTGAAATTTTGAGGGGACGTTCTCCGTCTACGTAAATATTAAGGGGCTGAAACCCAGCCCCCGGATATGCGTAGTACCCATGTACGGGCCCTTGAAAATTTTCTTCGGATAAATTGCTAACTAGGGATTCAGGAAAGCTAGAAAGCTGAAATTTTAAGAGGGTATTTTCGGACAGTTCTGGCGGCCAGTCTTGATTTGTTTAGCTAGAAGCATTTGCCGGAAAAACCACTACCGGTGGCATCAAAAATTGCAGGGAACTATGCAAAAAACGCATATTCGCACCAGCAGCCGGTGCGTTGGCCAATTATTTTAAAACTGTGCAACTTCAAAATTTTGTTTGCAGGCAGCTGGAGAAGCAGCACCAGTTGATACGGCTCTGAGTGATCAGCGAGCACTGTTGAAGCTGAATATTCACGTCGGCAATCAGTCACTTGTCGACCAATTTGAATGGGATATGAGTGAAGAAAAGAATAATCCAGAATGGTTTGCGTCAAAACTAGCAGCTGAATTGGGTCTTGGAGGAGAATTTGTTGCTGCAATAAGCTATTCTATTCGAGGACAGTTATCCTGGAACCAAAAAACCTATGCATACAGGTATTTTTGCTTTTTTTTGTTGCGGAAGGATTGAAAAATAATTTTTTGTGGTATTTTTCTGATAGCTTCCGTCTCAAGTCCACTTTCCTAGTTGCCTCCGTCTCTCACAGATGGGGGATACGGCGGGGCTTTTGACGTTTGATTTTGATTTTTTTAATGAAATTTAATTCCAGCGAATCACCATTGCCAACGGTGGATTGCCCGTTCAGAAATCCGTCGGATGCTGATGCATGGGGTCCGTTTCTGGAAACGCTTACAGATGCGGAAATTGAAAAGAAGATGCGCGACCAGGATCGTAATACACGTCGCATGCGACGTCTAGTAAATGCAAATCCTTATGGTGGACTCTAAATTCGTCCTTTTTTTTGCCTTTTTTTGGTATCTACATAGGTATCTTTCTGTGTCTTGAGCTCATTATGGACACTCAAGTCGGCCAGGATGTTACGGACGGTCCAGCTCCGTAGTGGAGAGGCTACGAGAGTTGAGTCCGTGCATGCGCATCATTACAGTTGACGCAACATTATCAATTCCACAGGTCTCCGTACAAAATATGTATAGGAACACGGCCTGTGGCCAAAACAGAACAGCATGGCACATGTGAGATACATATTACCAAGGTGTGGCACATGTGAGATACATATTACCTCCTAACTCATCTACAACTTCAATTTATCAAATTCAGCCCCTCGTTTTGCGTGGTTGCCACGTATGGCCTCGTGAAATTTTCTGGCTGGAACTTGGGTACTCGGGAAATGAGGAAGCTGGGAGCTTGGGATTTCGAGGGAATGTTCCCTGTCCAAGTGTAGCGTGGAAATTAACTTTCCGAAATTCGAGGACTAGCATGTACAAGAGGTTTATAGCTAGCGGCGAGTGATCTTATTGCAGCACGAAACACTGCAAAAACGCATGATCGCACGGGGCTGCCCAGTGCGCGTCGCCAATGATTCAAATTTCGATCATTTTTGTGTGCATTATTTTGCACGAATTCATGCGATTTGGTATAAATTTGCGATTATTTATATATTCATGGTTTTTTATATTTATTAGAATGCTAAGAAATGTCAATATTTCTTTTATAAAGCTTAATCTAAACTTTGCATCAGCTTGTTAGCTTGGATTTTCTTCCTGCCCAACACCACCTTCCGCAGACAGTTTTCCAGGTGAATTCCTTCATTTCTTCAACAAAATTGAAACTCCCCAAAACGATATTCGCCAGACTTAGTTTTTATTTTTGCTGACGAAACAAACTGAAACATAATCCTTTTTTTTTTAAAAAAATCTCCATATTCTGGACATTCCCTCTTTCTTGACTCTCCTCCTCTTTCATCTCTCCTTCCCTGCCCTCTTTCTTCGGATTTCCAAAAACAAACAAGTCTTTGAGCCCCTATCTTTTCCACTTTTTTGTGGACCGAGTCGAGTTTGAATAATTATCCTTATCGGTCTCAAATTTGTTCTGTTTCTCTGAGTCGTTTTTTTTGGTCTTAGTAGGTAATGTTCTAGTCGGCACAGGTTGTATGTATGTGTGTGTGTATCTGTGTGCGCAGAGCCTCTGTACCGATTTTTCATCTCGAGACCTACAAAAGCTACAGGGCTGAAAATTTGGGAACGTAATCTACATGCACGTACGGGCCTCCATCCCTAAAATGTTATCCGCATCTTACCCACGTAAGAGCTCGCCAAAGTTTTTTACGGGTAAGCTGCTACTCGGGAACCAGAAATGCTCGGGGGCTGAAATTTTAAGGGGGCGCTCCCCGTCCAAGTAGGTATTAATGAGCTCAAACCCAGTCCCCGGGTAAGCGTAGTACTCGCCAGCGTACAGGCCCGTGAAATTTTTTCTGGAGTAAGTTGATAACTCGGGGATCTGAGAAGCTAGAAACCTGAAATCTTATGGCGATTTTCCCCGTCCACCTAAGTCTCATTCAGCTTAAACCAGACATCGGGTACGCGTGGCACTCACGTGCGGGCTGGTGAAAGCTTTTCTCCAGTAAGTTGCTAACTCAAGGGCTAGGAGGGCTAGAAAGCTGAAATTTTAAGGGTGTGTTTCTTCCAGTTTTGGCGGCCAGTCTTAATTTGTTTAGTAAGAAGCTTTTGCCGAAAAAACCGATGCCGGTAGCGACAAAAATTGTGGGGAACTACGCAAAAAGCGCATCTTCGCATGAGCAGCACGTGCGTTGGCCAATTATTAATTATTTTGGTGTTTTATTATTACTCCAGTGATCTTGATACCGTTGTACTGGATTATTCTTCGGTTGATTGTTTCGCAAAAAATAAGTCTTTTTTTGCATATAGCTTTAGTAAATGTTCACCTTTTCGTTGTTGTGCTCTGGAATACTTCATATTTGGACGTTGATCTTCGTCCGTGATACTCTTTCAATAGAAGCGCGAATGCAAACTTTTGACCTCGAGGAAATTTGGAAAAGAGAAGGTGCCTGCCGTCTTTTTGCTTTGCACATTTTTGTAGATTCGGTAAAGCATGTAAAAGAACATGAAATTCAACAGGAGAGTGCGAGAATTTGATCGGTTCATTTTTTTTTTTCCTTTGAAAAAGTGCTTTTTGCAGTTTTTGTGCGTTTTTTGCAGCTATGCAATGCGGAAAACGTATATTGGCGAGAGGTTGTCTGTGTTTGTGTCTGTGTGTGCGCTGCGCGTTTGTACCGATTTTTCATCTCGAGACTTACAAAAGCTGCAGGGCTGAAAGTTTGGGGACTTGATGTACATGCAAGTATAGGCCCCCATCTCGGAAATGGGCGGTCTTGCCCGCGTGGTACCCACGTAAGAGCCCGCCAAAGTCCTTTGCGAGTAAGCTGCTAACTCGCGAATCAGAAAAGCTAGAAAGCTGAAATTATAGGGGGGGGGGGAGGTCCCCCGTCCACGTAAGTCTAAATGAGCTCAAGCCCAGCCCAGTCCCTGGGTAAGCATGGTACCCGCGCAAGGGCCCACCAAAATCTTCGGGTAGGTTCGTAACTCAGGGGTCTGAGATGCTAGGAGGCTTAAATCTTAAGGGGACGTTCCCGTCCAAGTGGATATTAATGAGCTCAAACCTAGCCGCCGGGTATGCGTGGTACCCACGTACGGGCCCGTGAAATTTTTTTTTGAGTAAGTTGCTAATCAGAAGCCAGGAAAGCTTGGAAGCTAAAATTTTAAGGGGATGTTTCCTGACTGACGGCCAGTTTTGTTTAGCTAGAAGTATTTCCCGGGAAAACCGGTGCCGGTTGCGATAAAAACTGCGGGGATCTATGCAAAAAACGCATCTTCGCACGGGCAGCGCGTGCGTTGGCCAATTATTATGTTTACAGTTACTGGATGAAAAATAGACTGTTTCACTGAGTGTCAGATATAACACCTGAATTATGCTCTTAAAATTTCCCCATTGCCCTATTTTTTTTTTTGCAAATGCTTTCTAAAATTTAATCGTTGAACCATCAGAGCCAGTTTGGGAGCGTTAAATTATGTTTTAAATGAACGAATGGCCCTGGAATTATCTTTTTTGTCCTATATACGGGATGTTTAGAACAGGTGTAATTCACAGCCTTATTGTTTAGATCACCTGTAATTTACAGCCCCTGTGAATTTAAGTGATGCCATATTTCGATGGAGTAGGTGCATACATGGAGGGCGAGCACCATTCTGGGCAGAAATTTTTTATTTCTAAGGAAGTAATTTGTTATCTTCCCTCACAGAGCATGAATAAGGAGTTTTTGTCAAAATGTTAAATTATGGGGAATTTTTGTTGGTCAGAAGTGCGGTGTTTACAGGCTTCGCGTATATTTCTTGCTTTCTGAAATGGCAGCGGCTGCTGGAGATGGTATCGAGGTGGACGAAGATATGGAAATCGAACGCGCAGACCAAGGTTAATTTAATAGTTTTGAACAGAACTGGAATTGAGCTGGCTTTTTTTCTGCAATTACATATGTTTTAGTTCCTCCTACATCCACCATTATTCTTTCTGTTTCTATTTTTCCAGTAATTTCATAACAGTAAAGTCATTAGTCTAAAAATCATTGAAATTCTCATTAGTCTATGATTGAAATTCTCCTGAAAGTATATTTGGGAAAATTATGTAAAACTGGATCTCTTTCTTCCTCTGTCTCTTCTCCTTCTACCTTCTCGCCATCTTGCTTTGATTCATAATCTTCGTCCTCCAACTGCGCAGTTGATAATTTTTCCCGTTGCTTTAACCGGAACTGTATTCCCTGATGGCCATCAGTTTACCGGCGGTCATCCTTGTATTCTCCTGAAGCTTTTTTGAATCTTTAAACCCCTCATTCTACTCTTCAGACTTTAAAATCATGCTGCTTTTTCATACTTTTTTTTTAATATTTTTCTATTTGAAAATACTGGAATTATCTTAATTTCTCCTCCCTCCGCCTGATTCCTGAATTAAGCAGATTGTCTGTGTTTTCAAATGCAAAATTGAGGGTTTTTTTTTTTCGTTATTAGCATCAATTAATAGAGTCTCGCCTGTGACGAGGCCTTTGTCTCGGGCAGGACAGCAGTGCACTTCATGACTGTCCGCTCCGGGGCCGTCGCTGCACATATGGTTTCTCTCTGTTTGTGTTTCCTTTTCAAAAAATTTTTTTGGAATGTAAGAAATGGAACAAATATGTGGTTCTGCGGCGCGCTGCGTGCGTGGGCGAAAGAAGATTATCGGCATTTTTATGAGTTTTTTTTTTTCTCGAACGCTTCCATCGAGCCTCTTCCTCGTTGTTGTTCTGCATTTGTATATTGTG